AGAAAGAAATAGAAGTTATTACTGTCAAGAAAGTGCATGGTGTGAGATTACGTATATGACATGTTCCATGATTTTGCATGGGACACTTGTTAGAGAAATGGGATCAATAATTTAAGGGAGATTGTTTACTTGATTTGTGAACTGGAAGTTACCTTTCCCTCCTTCCAGTTGTCTGGTAAGATTCCTGTTTCAAGTGACAGTGAGAAAAGCATCGCAAAATGCGCTGAAATAATGTCTTCAGTATTTTTTAACAGTTCGAGATTAATATAATCAACACCAGCCGATGATGAAAGTTTCATTTTAACAATAAGTAATGAAATGCCAGTGATAATAAATGCAACAGGGGCCATCGTTTCAAACATTACAGAAGGAAAGTTAGGAAGGGGTGTGTCACCTTTTTTAGTGAACAAGGATGAGAACACGTTGTTAAAGGTATTGGCACTATCAGCGTCGCTTACAGCTTCATCTTTAGCCTTTGTGAGCGGGATGTCCTGTGCTAGTTGTGGGTTTATAACTGCCCAGGATTTTTCGTGGTTAGTTTTAAAATTTTAGACAAGTCCTTATGATAGAATGACTGTTCAGCTGTTTTAATTTTCGAGTAACAAGAGTATTCTGCAGCATAATACTTTTCCCATGCATATGTAGTTCTATTGAGTTTTGCGGTACAAAATAGGCGCTTTTTTTATTTTCAAGAGTTTTTAGGCTTCTGGAAAACTGTGGTTTATTTTTATTGGCGAGGAAACTGATTGTGGGGATGAATTTCTTGGTCAGTTCAGTTAGCTTGTGCTGAAGCGTTAACCAGCTATCATTGAGAGAATGGGAACGGAGATTGTATTCGAAGTAGAGCAGGAAATCAAGCAATTCAAAATTTATTTTTTAATAATTGCCCTTATCATACAAATCAATTGTTTTGCAAAAAATGGGGTGTGTTTTAGGGGACGAATTTAAATGTGGTATGGATGAATTTGTGATCGCTTATTTCACGTAATTATGTGATAGATTTTAAGCTTTCGGGGCTTTAGTATCAGGTCTAAAATGCTTGATGATTGATGAGTGACACGCATTGGTTCCAAATACCTCTTGCATAAGATTAAAGTTTAGGCAGACATCGATAAACTCCCTTGAATCACTGTTTCCAGCAATCGGGGAAACCTGATTTAGCCAATGAATGCTAAGAAAGTTGAAGTCACCATAGGTGAGAATATGTGCGGTAGGGTGTTTGTGAGTAAGCTCGGATAATATTTCATTGAATTCGTGGGCCAAATCAGAATCAGATCGAAGGGGCCTGTACGCGAGTATTACTGCTTCAGGGGGAGCACAGCACATTAACCATAATGATTCTAGTTTCGGAGATGTGCTGATTAGAGAGCATGACAGTCCTTTTTTAGTGGCGATGAGTACGCCCCCGCCACACGTGTTTTTGCGGTCATGACGAAAAATATTGAAGTTTGGCAAGTCAGCCATTGCCCCAGTATCTGAAACGTCATCAGTGAGCCATGTTTTCGTTAGTATCAGAATACTACTGCCGGATGATTGTGTTAGATTAGACAGGAGCACGAGTTTAGGAAGAAAACTATGTATGTTAGTATAAAGTACTGAAGATGAAACGCTTGCTTTTGCGCTGTTACGGGGCTGATGGCGTGCTTGCAGACGGTGACATGATCCCTATAATGCGGCCTGAACGATTCCTGCCACACTGTCAAAAATATATCGCTGGGCTCCAATATGCAACGTTTTGAAATGTAATGAAAAAGGTGTAGATTTGCTTCTAGCAAAGGCAACAATGTTCTTTCGTGCAGTTCAGACAGGACGCGTGAAGTCTTCACCAATGCTAAAATTTGTGCCTTTTAGCTTAGGGCCATTCAAAAGGATAGATTCTTTAGTTTTGAAGGATGAAAGCTTGACTATGATGGGTCGTTTACGGCTAGCGTTGTAGCGCCCTAGTCGATGCACATGCTCTATAGCTCTAGATTCGACTGTAAGACCAAATCCTTTAAGGCAGTGTTTCACAATTATTTCTTCTGATTGGGCATATGTTTCCTTTGGGTTGTTGTCAGCAAAGCCATAGAATATTAAGTTGTTACGCCAGGAATGGTGTTCGAGGCCTTCAATCTGGCCTTCAATGTCACACATACGATGGGTTAGTTGACCTGTCTTGGGGTTAAGGGTGTCTACATCTGTTCAAAGAGCTAAAAGATTTTGGCAATGACTTTCTAGGTCTGCGAGGCGAGTGCTTAAATCAGCGATTGTGTTGTTCGTGCTCACTAGCTGGGTTTTGAGACTCTGCATCTCAAATACTAAAGTGGCCTGGCCGGCAGATAACTTGCATAGTTCTTTGAGGATGACCTTCTCTGGACCGGGGTTTTTCCTCAACATCCCCTGATAGTAGTAGCAAAGGGTGCACGACTTCAATACAATCAGAAATAAGTAAAAGGCAGCACTGTGGGCTTGGCAGCTGCACTAAAAAATAATCGGCCGATTTTTTAGCATGACCTTGATACGAACTATCAATGTGCATGATCAGGAGGAAAGGGTTAGCGGTCTGCGTAGTGGCACAGTCGCGAAGCCCACAGGGCGCGGTAAATGGTGGTTGCTGCTTTATAGGCTGCCCATACGATGTTGTCGACGGTGATAGGGCATCTGAGTTGGTTTTGATTATCTACTGTAGGGGTAGAGGTGCTGCCGAACGTCCTTAAGCATGATAAGGCAAATGCATGTTTCACTTTTGTTGGCAACACGCACGAAGGTTCTCAAAGTGGTAGACAAGGCTGCCAGAAAGGCAGACACAAGCACATTGGCGATAATGCGGGCAAAAACCTGCTTGACCAGGAGGAACGGGTTAGTGGTCTGTGTAGTGGCACAGCTGCGAAGCCCACCCTTTTAGAAAAATAGACTGATCGCAAAGCACGTGTGAAGGGCTTGTCCTGGGGTGCATGTTCACTCACTAGTTGCTTTAGGAAAAACTGATTTTAACCTCTTCTAGCCTGAATTTCTCGTAAGGCATAGGAAAATATTCTTGATGGTTCTCTTTACATTATGCTTATGAGGAAGTTACACGGCGACTTTTACGCATGTCGGAGTTACAGCTGTATGTTGATAATATGACAGTTTATTTTTAAATGTTTATTTTTTAAACACACTTCTTTGCTTGTTTGCTTTAGCTCAGGGAACTTGTATCTCAGTTTTTGTAAAAGAAATAAAACAATTTGAGTGTTTACTAATACAGAGATGAATTTGCACTCTATGCAAAAAAAACAGGTTTGCCTTCGTAGCCAGCCTTTTTGCATCGTTGTCATTGTTGCGACACTTCCGGCCAGTGGCCAACTTTGTCTTGACGGACTTGAGCATGAGAGGTTGGAGCTGCTGGTCCTTTTCTTTTTTTCAAGTTTTTCTTCCGCGCACAACTTGAAAAAAAGGCGGGCCCTTCTTCATCATGTCCTTGTTCGGAGCGCAGGGTGAGGTAATTTTAACATTCAAGGCTTGAGAAGCCTTGAACGATAAAATATCTGGTTGCTCTTCTTGGGGGGATCGTTATAGCATTGCAATCCCCGCGGTAGAACAGCCGGCTTCTCACTACAGCCCTACCGACGAAATTGGAAAAAAAAAGCTCCCGTAGAATTCTTTTTTATTTCCAAAAACTTTTGTATGCCATCAGCACAACTCAACGACTCAACTGCATCCATCTGTACTCGGCGACAACTTTGCCAAATCGGCATATGACATTCGCGACACCTTACAGCTGTTGTCTGAAAAGACGCACCGCCGCAGTACAACACAAAGGAATGCTGACAGTGTTGATTTCACATGAAGGCCGTGTGCGGCTCGCCCTAGGGAATAGGGGGGGGCTTGTTATACTGCTTACGATGCACAGGTGCCTGTGAATGTGCTAGGCATACAAGTCGAAATTTCGCGCTTGTGTTGCTCCCAGGCTGCCGAGATCTATCTGTTGGGGCAGCGTGTTTTCAACAAAACATCAGCTAACATTGTCATTGAATAATAATATCTAGGGTTCTATGTGCCAAAATCACGATATAATTATTTGACACGTCGTAGTGGAGGGCGCCAGACATTTCGATTATCTGGTGCGTTTTATTGTGCACTGACATAGTACAATAGGCAGGCCTCTAATTTCGTCTCCCTTGAAATACGACCTCCGTGGCGGGGATCGAACCCGCGACCTTTGGATCAGCAGGCAAGCACCACAGCCGCCACATCATTGCGGCTGACAATACCATCACTTGAAGAAAAGGCCTTTCCATATCTCATATCTGGGTTATTTCTGAAGGGGATTAGGTGTCAGGATTCATGATGCATATCTACACCTATCTCCAAAAAGACTCAACGGCATCCTCTGAAATCTGGATGCCAATTCTTCTTCAGCAGTTATGTTTTGACACAAATGTGACTACATAAGGACGGCCCACATAAGATAAAAATGCTCAAGACCACTCTTGTCTGTGTACGTTATCCGTACCAAGCATTATTAAATAATTGTCATAGAGAAGAAAACAATGCAAGCACCATTTTCTGTTGTTGCAAACGCTTGGTTGCAAAAGGACGGAGCAGTCGTGGTTATTATGGTAGCAGCATGCAGTGTTCAATGCACTCTTCTTAGAAATGAATCGCTGGTGCTTCAATATCATACAAGAAATATGGCACAAAGACTCGTGCGTGGGCTGCAGGCCCCTAGTGAAAGGTCGGCAAGCTGCATGCGGCCCCTGAGTCACAGGCTTGAAACCCCGGCTCTAGTCTATACAAATAACAAATACAAGGGGTGGGCGTAATTGTGTGCATCACGTCTCAAAGAGTAAATGTTTTAAATAATTGTTTGAAATGTTGTGCGATTCTAGGGCCATCTTTAAAATGCTTTACTTGCTAATAAAGGACTATTCCAATAATATTCTGTTTGTGTTTGAATCGTTTCTGAAGTTCACTACTCAATTGCCCATACATAGTGATTGCTGCTGTGTTGAGCGCCAGTCCTTCTTGAATATGCGCAGAGAGCCGCTTTTCCTGCGACGAAGAGCAGGACATGTGCTCGGAGACTACATTGGTAGACCTTAGCAAACTGCCAGGTGATCCGACGAGGAGGTACAGCGAGCTGTACCGGCGGAATTCAATGGTACCTCTGCACCTGAAGTCTGTGTACCCCGTCGAGACTCAGCAGTTCCCAATCCCCGCAACACCGTTGAGGGGAGACTCCACGCCACCTTTTTCGAAAGCCTCCGGCTCTTCCGCAGTTGCCTCCACTGCCACTGCGCAGAGCCGCGCTTCTCAGCAGTCCAACACGACTGGAAGATGCCAGCAAGCGAAAGAGGGACACGCGCTCCACCAGCAGTGATGACAGCAGCAGCAAATCGTCATTCTGGGTAAGTTCTGGCAGGCCTTCTAACCCCCTATGGCGATGGCTAGAGGTTTGGCTTGCTCTAGATTCTACAAAACTGCAGTGGTGCCTGCAGGGAAGTTTCTACTTGCTAGCGACAGCCTCGAGTTTTGAAGTCATCCACATTACCAAAAAAATTTTTTTTTATCTACGTTGTCTAGGTTCAATATTTTGAAAGATTACCATTGTGCATAAAATTTGTTTTAATAGTCAGCCTGTGCTCTGAGCAGGGAATAGCACTTCTTTCTATGTAATGTTGGTTTTTTTCTTACAGTTGGATTGGCTCGAAAATTTACAGGGCACAATAGTCAAAATCATGTAGCCTCGAATTCGAGAAATCTTTATGCGTTGCTGTGCACAGCAACCAGCTTTTCGATTATGTAGGCACTGTGGGCTCAAACTGAATGGCACTTTCACAAGACCAGTGCCCCAAAGGCTTGTAGGTGCATACCACAATAATGAACTACTGCCACAAACCATGCTTTCCAATCTCCTATAATTTTCATGCATTCATAGGCAAGTGCAGTAGTGCAACGTATGCAACTGAATCAGTGACCAGGGGTGGAAGTGCTGCGCCATTTGCGCCATTCTGCGTCAATATGACCTGCTACGCCAAGCTGCTTCTAAAAGGCAATCTGCATGTGCAACGCCAAATTTAGTCGAGGTTTGTCATCAGTCGAGCAACACGCGTGGGCTATACAAAGGGCGCAACCGCATCCATACCAAATAAGTTTGGTGGCGTCCTATTTAGGTTCGTGCGCATACCTCATTATGCGACTCAATATATGTTTTAACAGCAAAGCTGTTAGCCAAACCATATAAACTGAAGAGAGTAATCAGTTTCACCGGTGGAGTGATGATTGCAATAGCAAAAACTTGCAATTGTAATGGTAATGCCGCACGCGTTTTCAATTTTTCCTACCGCACCATTACGCGTGTAACGCTGCCTTGCGTGATCCGTTTCCGAATGACTGGGAACAATCTAGATCAACCTTCCGATGATATTAAGCGCACAACGCGTACATTAGAGTTCGTTCTGGAACTTACGCTGCAGCCGCTAGCGATAACGCGGCAATCTTCGATGTCACGTGAATAAATGCCTATGCCTTTGCTGCTTGGCAGATTATCGATGGCCGACGCTCTGGTTTGCAGCTAGTCAGTCTACAGCTTGTATTCCTTGTAGAGTGACGTTTTGTTTTCCGGGCACAGGTTCGCCCAAATAAGGTGCACTCATGAAAACGGCAGCTGCTGCTGCCTTCGTCAACCTCTCGACCCCGCGACAATACGAAAGGTGAAAGCTAACGCTTTAGAATGCGACATCGCGACACTCGGCAAAACGCTGGTGTAAAAAAGAACGTACGGCCGCTCCAGGGAGAAAATGCTCTTATCGCACAACCTCCTTCCGTTGAGAGCGCGCCACGTACAACAGTTTACGAGCCGCGCGCTGATGCTTGCCGATATAGCACGTGCCAGCTTATCACAACGACGCCCTTAGAATCAGCTCACCGCTGCAGCTCGAACGACCCCCCCCCCCCCCCCCCGCCCCTTTCCGCCGCGTATTTTTTCATGCTTGTTCAAGACGGACGGCCTGTTTCCTCTCTGCTTGACCATTCGACAGCAGGCCTAACACGTGGTGGGATAGTATCGCGTGCGCCCTCCAAGCGACGTGATGGAGATCAACCACCTCGTTTAATCTATGCTTGCACAGCGCTCATCACCCCAGCTTGCGCAATTTTAGGCGCGGGTAGAACGTATGCGCGGGGAATGTTACCAACTTGTAGTTAACGCGGAACATGGCGGCGACGGTGAAAACCCATCAAGTGCTGTTGTGGTTCCTATCCTAATAACAAAAAATCACTCAATTGCCTAGCAGTGGCGAGGCGAGCCTGAATTTCTTCATGGTTCTCATGTCGGCTGGGGCACTTCAATGACTGGAACATACGTTTTTTACATTTATTTTTTTATAGAGCCCTATCGGTTTAGTAGCCCTGCCGCGGTGGTCTAGTGGCTAAGGTACTCGGCTGCTGACCCGCTGGTCGCGGGTTCGAATCCCGGCTGCGGCGGCTGCATTTTCGATGGAGGCGGAAATGCTGTAGGCCCGTGTACTCAGATTTGGGTGCACGTTAAAGAACCCCAGGTGGTCGAAATTTCAGGAGCCCTCCACTATGGCGTCTCTCATAATCATATGGTGGTTTTGGGACGTTAAACCCCACATATCAATCAAATCAATCATCGGTTTAGTAAGAAGATAACTTTTGTTATATTAGTTTATCTCTAGTCTTGAATTGCTGTTCATGTTATATGCGGTGTCTCAATCACATTTTGAACATTGTGACATTTTAACATTAAATATTTTTATTCGTCTGAGTTGCTGTGCTTTCAACTTCAATGTTGTGAGGCATTTTATATATATATAAATATACATGGCATAAGTCTACTTTTGGTCGCTTGATCAGCATTAAATGCTTGGTAAAAACCACTGAATTTTTTTGTGTTGATAAGGTGTCAAGTAAGGTTAGGTGTCACACTACTACTATACTCAAAGACATTGGCTTGAGCCGAGGTCACTGTAGCATTATTTAAACAGTACAAAAATTTAAGAACCGCGAGCTTAGGTTTACGTGCACATTAGTGAGCTCCTCAAGGCCAAATTTAACTACACCCTTCCCCCTAATGGTGTGCCTTGTGACCGTGTTGGAATTGGAACGTGCCAAAACCACAACATTTAATTAATCGATTCACTTATTTGACTAGAGTCGCACAGCGTGTGTGGCATAGTGCTGGACATGCTTGTATAGTTTCTTGGGTCAAAGGGTGTTGTTCTGAATGTGCCGCACTCTTGCCTTTGCTCATCGTAGATGTGATTCTCAGCCCCAACTGCGCTCTTTCTTTTGCTGGTCATAGATTACATTCTGAGTAAGTATTTACTCCTGGTAGGTGTTCTCGTTGTCTGTGCACTAACCTTTCTCTGTAGTTAATTAATAATCATGCGAAGTCATGTGACAGTCAAGTAAGTGTCATCTCTGTCTCTTGGTGTGAGAAAGGGAGGGTTAAGGGAGGGTGTTTTTCAAGCAGAAGAGGCATGTTGTGCAGCGCAGCTGCTTTAGGATCTTCAGTACAGCTGCAGTCCTGATAACGCTTTCGGATTAAAATAGTGGTCGGTGAATGTACAGAATTTCAAATGTCCTTATAAGTACTGTTTACAATTAGATTCAATTTGCACCTGAATTTTACTATTCAAACTTCCTGAAGACAAACACACTTAATCTGCAGGGGCCACTGTTAATTGGACATTAACATGCTTCACCCCATTACACACGTATTGCGACATAGCTGTCTTTCAAGCTTTGCTGTTGTCGCAAATGTATGGACTCAAGAACACGCTAGTTCCAACATGAAGATAATAAATGTGGCAGAAATAGGGACCTGAAGTCGTGGCAGGAAGTTTGAAAACGTTTGCCAAAGAGTTTTAGCGCCCGAAAGTTCAGACGTCCTTACATATATTGATGCCTACGAGGCAGGTTTGAAACTCGAGACTTACAGGGAGCACACCTCTGTCCACCACATCAGTTGAACTTTACAGAAGTTGAAAGAGAAAGAGAGGCTGAGGAAGTAGCATTGTTGCCTTTCACGTGTAACGTGTCGTCGGCAACGCTTTGGTTGCATCAAATCATGTAGACAAATACACTTCAGCCTCTGCATTGTCTCATTCTTGACGAGACAGCTATGAAACACCAGCTCAGTAGCGCTTCATCAACCTAGTTTGGTAAATCCTCGTCTCATCAATTGAAATCTAATGAATCAGATTCGGCGCTTGGAGAATAGTCTGCATCGGAAGAATCACCGCTCCACTCACTAGCAGCAGAGAAAATGGCGTTACTTTCCGTAGCATAAGCAAACTGCACAAGTGAGCACGCAGAAGAAATCGCCATGGTTGTGAGCCCGTCCGGGCAGCAAAATCAGTGAAAAAGCTCCGATACGTCTTATTGCTCAAGAGACAGAGTTAATTTTTTCGATTCTCCAAAAGAGAAAGCGCAACCACAGTGGTGCCGTTTGTGTAAATTAGCACTGCTTGGAAACATGTAGTCATGCCCCGAGGAGCAACAAACGGGAGAATCGCAAATGGTCGCCCTTTGAGACATTGGAAGTCACACAGGAATCAGCTTTGTGTGCGAGAGAAGTGATAGCCATGCAAAGGTCGAAACCGAAACCAGTCGCACCGTGTGTGCAAGTAAAAGCCGCCACTCTGCCTTGGAAAGTAAAGCTAAAATAGAGAGAGAGATGTCAGCGCCTGAAAAAAAAAATTGCACGTCTTCCCCAAGCATGGTAGCACATTCTAAGCAAGAAAAATGATCGATAAAGTACGCGTTTTAAACCAGCTGCATCGTGCTATCAAATGCACACGCAACTTCAGAGCACCACTTTGCAAAGCATAAAAAAATTACGGAGAGACATCAGCTTATTAAAAAAAATTTTAAGATTTCTTGAAGCTCGGCAGCACATGCCCAAGCAATAAAAATGATCGAAAAAGATGAATGTTTCAAACAAGCCAAATCACGAACACGCTTGGGTGCCTAAGTAAGAAAAAAAAACATTGGCGCATGAAAAAATTTTCATGTTTTCTCAGTGTGCTAGCTTATGCCAAGCAAGAAAAATGTTAAAAAAAAAAAAACGCCAAGCCTGCGCGGAAGGCACAGCACAGGCACAGCGAAAGCTAGAATAGCGGCCTCCTTTCAGAGCCTTTTAGAAACACTCATTGGGTAACTACCGCAAGCACACTGGCTTGATACCCACTACGTCATTATTAATAAATTTATTTGAGTAGTAGGCTGGCATTCGCTATGCTATTTCTTGTCATTATTCTGAGAAGCGTGGTATACGCTAAACACTTGCGAGGAATTTTTTGCCAATTTTTCATGCAGTAACTGAAGATGATGAGGAAATATGGCTAAAGTGGGTATGTGCCACACTTAATAGTATACATGAACAAGCTTTTGAGATGGGTTGGAGCATGGGACGGCCCACTCGTTATGCTATTCACATTGTGCGACAACTGGTTGTTCTTTCGGTGTTTTAAAACACCTTATAAATCGTACTATTTCCCCGACATCAAGCCTGTCTAAGACAAGTTTGACAACAGGTTACAAGCACCGGCGTAACTCAATGGTGAAATACCGGGCTGGCACCCAGCGGAACCGGGTTTGAGCCCCACTGTGTCAATAATGCTATTTTTTGTTTTTTATTTTTATTTTTGCACGATGTGGTTATAGACATCAGCGGCGGCAACGGACAAATGCGCGTGACCCGAGTTGTGATCTCATAACAGCCTTCGCTGTAAAAGGTGCATGTTTATAAATATATAGGCAGTGCTGTTCATGTATGGCCTCAAGTGAATATGCGCAGTAATCAGTGTGCCTTTTGTAATAGGTGGCTGGCATCAAACCTCAAATTCGTTATGATAATTACATGTTCTTACGCCCGATGAAAAGGTACGCTTGTACCAGGCAATATTACATGCGGTATTGTGAAGCCTATAGACAGTACGCGTGTGTTTAATAAGCATAAAAGTTTGCTATGTTCACTGTATTTCCAAGCAGACACGTAGCTTTGTCGTAGAACTCGTTTTGAAAAGGGCAATGCAATGACACGAAGAAATAAAGAGAGACAAAGAGCTCTTTGTCTGTCTTTCTTTCCTCGTCTCGTTGCCCTGCCCTTTTCAAAATGAGTACTGTGATCCAGCTAGCCCAAACCAGAGTACTTCTTATGTCATGGAACACCTGCTTGCCACACGAAGTGGGTTCGATCCTCACTCAGACCCGGAAATTTTTATTATTTATTTTATTCACATCTTTATCCATTTTTCGGTCATGCATAAGATGATGATTTTTCGCTGACAACCAGCGACACCGAAACTGGAATTTCTGCTAACGCTAATGCACTAAAAGGCTTAGAAGCAGTTTGACTGGCTCAATTCTTGGCTAATTGTTCACTCCGAGTCTATGAACAAGAACAAGCTCCGGCTCCCACGAAAGTACGTTTGTGAGTTTAGAGCGGTGCACATCAACAGCCTTATTAACAGGGTAAATGAACAGGAAGGAAAAAAAAAAAAAAAGATGGAAGAGAAGTTTTATCAGCAACAATGTGACACATTTTCATAGCAAAGAAAAAGAAGACATTGCAACAACTTATAAAGGAAAATTTAACTTTGAAATTCGGTTTATTTGGGATTTACGAGAAATGAACCCTATAAACAGTAATTTTTTTTATTTGTCTTAAAAATTCGGAACCCCTAGGAATAACTTGATATTAGTCAGCTTTTCCCTCATTTTTTCCCCAGGTATATTAAACAGACCAAACTGTTTTAGCTAATATAGGGGTCACCGCTCAGGCTCTGTTAAAGAACACATTTCGGCATTCAAAGACTCAGTACTATCATGCTTGTGCAATGGTGGCTGCGTGTATTTGTGTATGTGTGTCCAAGTGCTTGTCCGCATGTCCGATTGTATGATTGTGTGTGCATTACATTCATAGTTACATTGTGCTACATGTCGTGTGGTATACTGTTGCATGTCTATACAATGTGGAGTAATGTTGCACGTTGTCTTAAAGGGTCAGTGAATAACCTCGTGGTTCAATATTTGTGATGAGGAAATGGCGTGCACTTGTACGTTGTAAAGTGAAAATAGAAATTGCGAATAAGTGCTACAATATAGTTACAGGGTGTTGGACAACCATTTCGGCTTCTTTGTTTCTCTCTGCTTTCCTAGCCTACTTGGCAGAGAATATTGGTCGGCCTCTGTCATGACTATGCCCACTTCAACACATAACGCGTCTGCAATTAAATCATTGGTGTGCTGCCAATGATCGAGTGAGGCTTCTAGATGTCGTTCGCATGAGCAAGGCGTGTGACGAAGCACGGTGCGAGGCATTGGCACCTCGTCAATGCCTTTACTGCTAAAGCTAGGGCATTCACCCTTGCCTTAGCAGTAAAGTCGTGAAACACTCAATGTTCTCAAAGGCTATTTTCTTTTTCTGACGATACCAATTGTTCTAGACGTCCGGGTTTTTCCAAGGTGGTTAGTGGGCAGCACAGAAATATGAAAATGTAGGTTGTGTGGTAAGAACTACACGACTGGAGGCCCAAGGCACCATTTCATAGTGCAAAGAACCACTTGATATAGGTTCTATGAAATTTAGCCAGTGGTCAAGATTATGTCACTGTGCAAGTGAAATAGACTGGCATGTGGAGGAGAAGCGCGGGAATCATTTTGAAATGTGGTGTCTGTGTGGCGTGCAGCACTGCGATATTCACCAAATGGGATCGCCTTGGCCATCTGCACGATTTGGTGTGTTTGTATTCATGCTTGTTCAGGAGGTGTAAAATAATTCCGAGCCAACTTACTGGGCCTTCAACAACAACAAAAAAAAAAGGCTCGTGTTCAATCACACTGCGGTTGCCACGGGCTCTGCAGAACTTGTAGATACGTTTGCATCGACACGAAACAATCTACAAGTTCTGCATAAGTGATGACAATTCTGGTTAAACTTGAAACAAATATAGTGGGCTACCGTATCGTGCATAAGATTCTGTTGATCTTTTCTTGAAGCTTCACCTTCCAACCTCTTGGAACTTTTACAATTTTCCAAGTTCTACCAAGCTCCAGGAATTCCACCTTACACACAAACCTCAATATAACAAATTTGCATCTTACACGAAAATAAGTTTGTTATATCCAAAAGTTTGTTATAAGGGTTTATTCCTAACACTATTTACATTTACTTCATTCTAACTGGCATTTCGTTATATCCGGGTTTGTTTTATCGAGGTTTGAGTGTATTGCCCTTTGTTAAGGTGACTCTGTAAAATATTGCATACTTGTACAAACTGCTTCCTGCAAGTCATCGTCACTCAGCTTTGCTGTTTTGCATGTATCTAGCAGCCACCAATCAATATGCATCGTTCTTTCTGAATGTCTTTAGGAGATAGAGCTTATGTTTATGCTGTTGTTGTCTTTCAGCAAACGGATTATTGCGCAGTATAGATAGCTTTCGTGTCTCATGATGCAGCCATGTGTTTACTTTTTCGTTGCTACTCACTAGTTTGATCGATGTTCTACAAAAAATTTCTTTTCTTGTCTTTTCGCTTCATAATGGAAATTTCGTTTAGGATGTGTTTTGCATTTCATTTTTTTCAGACAAGCATGGGAACTCCATCAAAAGGAACAAAGCCCAGATCCACCCGGACGCCATCAAGTGTCAAGAAATTCCTGAGAAGCAGATTTAAGCGGTAGTGTTGCAGTGTGTAAATAATTTGAAAGGCCGCAGTCTGTGGTCCGTGCCATAGTTTTCAAGCTGCCCTGCCTTTCTGACAAAGGACGCTGTACAATCATGAGATTTTTAACGGCCATACAAAAAGAAGTCTACCGCATGACACAGCAAGGCATTTTAAGCATACTCACCAGTCTAAGCCTGTAAAGCCTAAACACATATGGAAACTGAAACTTGTCCCCTTATTTCTATTCAACATGAGTGCAAACATATACAGTGGCATAATTATTTATTGATTGGTTTTTACATTATCCTCAACTAAAATGATGTTATGGGGCTCGGAGATTTGTGTGGCACAAATGGTAGTTTAGGCATTATGGCTCTAGTTTATATTGTTTTAGTTATTTTTATTGTGCAGTCTTTCATAGACTTACAGCCTGCCAGTTACTTAACCGTGACAAATGTGAGCATCATTGCTTACTCAAGTATAGTCTTCGCAAACTGCCGTGCTGCGGTGGTCTAGTGGCTAAGGTACTCAGCTGCTGACCCACAGGTCGCGGTATCGGATCCCGACTGCAGCCACTGCATTTTCAATGGAGGCGAAAATGCTGTAGGCCCGTGTGCTCTGATTTGGGTGCACGTTTGAGAACACCAGGTGGTCAAAATTTCTGAAGCCCTTCACTACCGCGTCTCTCATAATCACATTTCGGTGCTGGGACGTTAAACCCCGCATGTCAATCACTCTTCGCAAACGTCAGATTTGTGTAAATACTTTATTATGCTGACAGTTTTTCAGTGTGCTGCTTGCCTTGAGATGTAACCTGCTACTTGTATAAAGCGATCTTTTGCATGTTTAATAAAGATTTTAATTTTGTACTTGTATACAGTGTTAAGGAAAGTGCATCACTTAGTCCTACATTGTCATTGTTCACGGGCTCTTGACATGAACACGGACAAACGCATAAACACACACCCCAAAGTAAATTTCTGGCTAATTTCACCTTGAAACTGGACATGCTGACTATTGGTGTTTGATACTAAAGAACCAGAAATGAAGTGTTACTCTCGTAAAATGTTTTGTGTTGGTGTAAAATGTGCTAGTGTTACCTAATGTTGGGTCACGCTTTCTGAAGGTGAATCGTAATGGCTTGCTGTCAGCTAGTGCATCTTTGCTTAGTAGCGGCTAATGTTGGCTGTCAGCTAGTGGTAGGTTACTGCATGTTTCTTTGTCAGCTTAACTTTTGGCTAACTTTAGGCTGGCCAATATTAGGGTCTTCTAGCAAGTTACGAAAATACAGCATGCAAATATGGCTCAGTATTACCATGCCGATCCTTCTTTTCCGGTCGCTGACCTTTTAACAGTGAATTACTGTGTTATAATGGCTTGTTGTGGCCTGTCAAGGATAGAGATTCTTGGGAAGAAAGAGGGTGAAGAATGGGGTTGAACGATGCAGTAACTGTCTCTCATGCGAAGACAACACGAGTGGCCTGTCAATCTACGCATTGTTGACAGGTTTACCAGATTGGGCTATTAATAGCCAAATTGGGCTACTTTTTGTTCGAGTTGGCGTCGAATTTTTCTGTTTGGCTATGTGGCTATTTTTGGGCTACATTGCTCTCGACTAGGCAAAAATTCCAAAAAGCCACAAACTGTAGATAATTTTAGTATCGGGGACCCCAAACAGCTTACGCACGCACGCTCTTGCGTTCGTTTGTACCTCCAGCCGCCGGGAACCCCCAGCAGCTGCAACCACGGAGAATACAAAGGAAAGCAGGAGCATGCGTACGCGAGCGTCTGGGGGTCCCCGGCACTAAAACTCTCTAGGAACTCTAATGCACCTTGTCAACTACGGCCCCCTGGCCGCCGCCATAAGCCCCTTTTGGCTGTTAACATGCGTGACCCCCCAAAAATGCAGTACCCTGGCGCGACGTCAGCTTTTGTACTCCCGTGCAAAAGCTAAGAAAGGTGGTGATGGTTCTCTCTGTTAAAAAGCTCTATACAAAGAACGCCAAGGCTTACATGCGTATCCCGCCATCAAAACATTCCAATGTGTTGAACGATCCCTGCACCTGGAGTACGTAGCCCAAGAAAGGGCTTCACGTGTCTTCAGTTTGAAACCGTGTTGATGGCTACGTTTTCTCTAGACTTTCTTGACTCCTACTACCGTAAAATGCCGAGCAAGCACCCCCTCCCCTTCCCCGCACCACACAGTGAAAGATAATAAGAAAGATGTGGAGGGGGCCCTCTTGCTCAGTCCGAGACCAAAATCCAAGATAGCAGAGGAAGTGCCTCTAAGTAGAATGCACACCTGTGCTTCTTATGAAATGCTTTGTTGAATACGCAAGCATTTACAGTTTTTACTGAATCGGAGGGTGTCCGTCTGACATTGCACGTGTTATGACAGGAGTGGAAAGACGTTCTTCAAATACCCCAACAATTTGCGACAACCCGGAATGTGACCCTCAGACATCACACTGTACAAGTACTAAGAAATCGTGCACAAGACTCGCAGGAACCGCTGCTGCAGGATTATGAGGCGGAGAACAGATTTTAAAAAAAACGTCGAGGGGGGGGGGGGTGGCGCTTGGTCAGTCATTGGCGAATATTTTCAAGTCTCCCGAAAAGGGGAAGGGGGTACATGATTGTGAAAGCTATGACACGTGGGGAGCACCCATCCGAAGGTTGCAGGTTCAGTGACCCTGCCGGTAGCAGTTTGTCATTTCGTCCACTTAAATTTCATTGCGCTTCGGGTCTGAGGCTCTGAGGGGGCGAACGGACCCCCCCCCCCTCCCGTTTCCTTGGATACACCACTGAATGCGGGGCTTGTTGACTACAGCTCTTCGTGTCGTTACACGTCTGATCACTCTTCGATCATTGTATTTGGAGATATAAATTCGCGCTTCTTGCCGAGTGCTAGCAGTGCGTCTCGGGTCTGAGGCTCTGAGCTTGAAGAGACAAGCTCCAGGATGGGCAAGTGGGCCAAGTACGCGCGCAACTAGTAAAAGGAATGGGAGAAGGAGCCGGACTTCAAAGGTAATATATTTTCTATCCTCGGCACAGATTGTGTCAGAATGCTTTTGTATGTAATTTAATGCCCTGTTTAGAAAAAAAAATGTTCCATTCATACGCAAAATTGAAATTTGAGGCATATGCATGTGTGCAGTGAGTACAGTACTATTTTTGTTTGTTTTTGAACGCGCAGACTGGCTATCGCCATCCAATTCAGGCGATATGGCCTATTGCCGAGCATGCAAGGTGGAATTGCGGCCCCACGTTCAAGACCTAAAGCTGCACTCCACTAGGGTCAAGCATGCAAACAACATGAAGCGTTCCGCTGGTCCAGCAGCAGGGCCTCTGGCATCGTTTGTGGACAGAAGACCCAGGGAGCCATGTTCCTGTTCTTCTGACGACCTCAAAGTAGCAGAGCTGCGCTTGGCTGCTCATTTGGCTGTTCACGGAAGCTTCCTGACGGCGGACCACTTGACGCCCTGGATCAGTGGGTGCTTCAGCGATTCGGTGTTGGCGTCGGCCGTCACCTTGGGGAGAACGAAGTGCGCTGCACTAGTGACAAAGGTACTGGGGCCAACATTTAGAGAAGAGCTCTTGAAGGACATGACTGCTGCACAATATTCATTGATTGTGGATGAGAGCACGGACGTCTCGTGCACGAAGGAGCTAGCCGTCGTGGCGCGCTTTTTTTCTCGCAGCAAAAGGGATTTTCTTACAGCCTTTCTCGGCTTGGTGCCAGTGACCGATGCATCCGCGGAAGGGCTATTTTCTGAGTTGAAGGCGCTGTTAGATGCTTGCAAACTGAACATCAATAGTTGTGTGGGTATCGGGACAGATGGAGCGAGCGTCATGTGTGGGCAGCACAACAGCCTTTACACAAAAATGAAGGCAGAAAATGCGCGGCTTGTTCTTGTGAAGTGTGTGTGCCATTCTTTACAGCTAGCCTGTAGTGAGGCAATAGATGTACTTCCCACGCACATTGACTACCTAGTACGCGAAACCTTCAACTGGTTCGCCCATTCACCGAAAAGGCAGCAAGAATATAGAGTAACATACGCCGTCATTACTTCGGGCGATGTCCCGAATAAGCTCATAGGCGTTTGTGCCACGAGATGGCTTAGCATTGCGCCTGCCTTGAGATCAGTCTTGAATCAGTGGGCTGCCCTGCGATCTCACTTTGATGCGATGAAAAGTAAGGAACGCTGTTACGCAGCAAGATTACTCAGCGAAATGTACGCTGATGAGCAAAATTTACTTTTTCTCCGTTTTCTAAGCCCAATAATCGATGAATTCGAGCGAATGAATGCGAGGCCCCGGACCCTGTGAGACTCAATGAAGAATTGATTTCTTTTGTTAAAGCTTTAATGACAAGAGTTGTTATGCCTGGCTATGCAGAACCTGACAATGCGGAGTGGGAGCAGCACATATTGCATGTGAGGGCATGCAGCTTGGGCGTTATTTTTCTCGACAGTTTTGAGAAGTCTTCACTCAGCGAAGGTGAAAAAGTTTGTTTGTTGGAAAGGTGCCGCAAGTTTGTGATAGCATCTATACGGAGTGTGCTCAAGCGGCTTCCCGCGAACATGAAGCTTCTCAGTGACCTCAAGCTTCTCGAGCCAAAGAGCATTAAGAAATACTCTTTCGATTTCGTGCATCGTTCATTCAATGCTTTTGTAGAGCCAAGTTGTATTTCAACAATGGAATCTGAGTATCACCTACTCCAAACCAGAGTCGACGATCTGGCAGAGGGTACCCACTCCATAACCGAATTCTGGGTAACCGTACACAATGCAAAAAATGTTGCCGGGAACTCGATGTTTCCACTGATGTCAAAGCTGGCGCTCTCTTTGCTGTCACTACCAGTGTCAAACGCTGCTGTTGAACGAGTGTTCAGCCAGGTCTCGCTTACTAAAACTGACATTCGAAACAGGATGTCTAACGAGACCTTAGAAGCGCTGCTCCATGTAAAATTTGGTCTGGGGAGGAACGCTGGCTGCTGCAAAGATTTCAAACCGGGAAGAGAATTTTTGTCGCGTTTTAACTCCACCGTTTTGTATGGGCCGAGCAGTGCCTCGGCATCCAAATCAAGTGTTTAAGTTATCATGTTTAAGTTATTTCGCTTCTCCACTTTCATCTCTTTTGTTGTATTTTCTATTTCATGAGTTTTTGTATATATCTACTTTTTTGTAAACCCTACCTATTTCTACTTTTTGTAAATATGCTTCTATATTTCTTTGTGATTCCATTCATTTGTTTGTTATTAAGTGACAATAAACTTTTGTCTAGATTCTGCAGCCATCGCTCAATCATTGTGGATTGAATAGCAAAAAAAAAAATATTACGCAATACGACGTATTCACGCATACATTTGCTGATTTTGGCAATTTTTGGGCTACATCAAATTTTCGCGTTTGGCTATGTTTGGGCTACCTCGGAGTCCAATTCGGCGGTTTGAGGCTTGCACCATCTGGTAACCCTGATTGTTGACACTGTCAGTGGAAAGGCAGAGCGCTACCATACTTCCTTACCACATTTGCGTACTGAATTTCCGTAACTTGCTAAAGGACTTTATTGCTTGTATAGTTCACACGCACTATTTTGATCATACCTGTCAAACCATACCTCTCAGACTATACCACTCAGTCTAACATAGCTTGAGCCTGCATGAAAGGATCAGTAAACACTGGTTATTTGTTTGCTATCAGAAAGTAAAGCATCGCACGTCGTGTGAGGTCATTCATGTTGTTGCATGTTTTCATAAACATTAACTTGCTTTTTTTTTTTCAGTTACTCTGCAAACAAGTTTCAAACTAGACAGTGCAACCTTGGCAAAAATAATTCTATATGCATTAGTCAATGATGTTAAAAGTGAAGGGTAAATTGTTAGTTTGATATGGTAGATCTGTTTATTCGTGAAGTCATTGTAGATTAATTAGTAACGGTCTTTCGTTAAAGAATTCAAGGATGTAAACATTGATTACTGAAGTCTGCAGCTCAGTCACCTCAAGCAAGATGGGTAACATAACGTCAACTATACTTCATGCGGTCATTGGAAATGCCAGTAAATTTTCGTCCGAACTTAAAAAGATTGCGAATCTTGTGACAAAGCCGTCATGGATTAGTGAGTAGGTGCGACTTCTCCGTGCCTGTTCCAAGGAGTTGAGGACTTTTTGACAGACAGGACAACTATCCCCATGCAGTGGGAGGCATGGAAGAAATTCGGGCAGGTGTCTTGCCACATTGTTTTGCATTTGCTCCAGCAGATAGCAGCAGCATGCTGGTGGTTTCATCAGCAGCAGCAGTGGTGTTAACTTAGCAAGAATGTTGCTAAATTAAGCGTCCTTTCAGTGGTGCAAGCAACATATCTATCTCTTTGGAGTATCGGCGACATTTTCAGATACTGTCAAGCACTGAAGTATGCCACCCGAGCTTATTACGACTTGCAAGTATGATGGAAAAAGTTGGGAATTTCAACTCAAGTTTAAAGGCTAGTTATGCAGTGTCAAAAACAAAGGAATAAAAGCACAATGTGCTAACTGTAGCACTATCTAGTTTTGATTGAACAAACGAGCTGTGGGAAATGGTCTATAGGTTTTGATGTGTTGACTCTGTGGGAAGCTTTTCCTCAAGAACCAGTATATTACCCCATGTGAGCGTCTCCTCGCTGCAAGTGGGGCGTTTCTGGCATTTTGAAAAACTACATTAGTAATAAGAGAAAAATGGTTCTGCTGTTTAGTGTCCCTTGAAAGTGGTGGCATATTCGCACTGTCCACTGCCTATAGGTGGCACATGAAGTAAACAAATAAGGCAGTCCGTGGAAGGATGGCAAGCGAGTAGGAGGGCATGGAAGCGTGTTTTAGAACTTGTTTTGAAAAATTTGATGCCAGGCCGCCTTGATTACGCAGCATCGTGTTCCACGTTGAAGTAAGTTACAATTACACACAAAATGAAGGGGAAGATGAGCACAAATCGTACAGCAACCATCTATATTGTGGCAAAGACAAAGCAGCCTCCTCACAATAGAGCATAGAGTGCCTCTTCATTTTCCACTGCACTGACCTGCTTCTGTCCATAGATGTCACATCGGTTTCCAATTATTAAATGTTGCGACGATGCACACCATGTGCGGTTGCCATGCTAATCTATACCAATGAAACAGTGGCTGCATTATTTTATTTAGTGAGACGCAGCTCTCACACTTGTTGACTTGAAGGGAATTATGGGCAGTTTACAAAAAGGAAATGGGTAGGAACGTACCATCTATGACATACATGACACTTTGTCACTGGCGAAAACAAATTGCGTCAAGCTGTAATGGGACAGAGGAATTCTGTTATCTCTCGGCATTTTGAAAAGTTTTCAAACTTGACTGGTATCGACCATGTGAATGCAATGCTAAGGTTTATTTAATAATCATGACAAATAAGCTAGTGAAGGAAATCACTCACTTGTATCGGCAGTTTTGTAAGGAAATTTTTGCAGTGATTTAGGAAAGATGAATGTTTATTGGCAGAAGGATGGGGAGTGTAGTTGACATTAGGAAGCGCTCAAGAGATGCTAAAATAAATAAGCCTATCCCAACAATAATACTGCAGCACATAAAATTCGACCAAGATGTCTTCGTAATATCCTACAGCTGATTGCTGAATGGTGCTCACTAGTGTTGTGGAACGGGTGCCCCCATCCCATTCCAATTACATTACGGGGACTTGCGGCAGTTATATTCCATTTAATTTTCTGGAATGAAGAAACTTAGGCCATTCCTACTCCGGCAATGGCTGGGCATTTCTATTCCTGCAATTTCTAAATGTAGGAAAGGCATCATGGTAGTTAAGTGAAGAAAGAATGGCCTGTAAAGTTGCTGTCATCAGATGCATTAAGAAATGCAAAAATATGTTACCGAGGTCAAGAGGTCAAGAGATAGTAACTTGGTGACATAGCTCGTGCAATTTCTCGGAAAGGTGCCGATGTGTCTAGACTGGAGAGGGGGGTACGAGGCGAGATAACACGCTCACTAGTACGAAAAGAGAGGGAAGACAATGTGTGCAACAAACCTCTGTAACTCCACTCGTACTGGACAGATTATAACAAGTTTTGTGGCAGTTGATTTGTGAGGCAATGAGCTTTTCTAATGAAGCCATTCTATGATTTCCAGGACTCCTCTCAGTGACATATAGGGGTGTCCAGACGTTCCCAGGGCACAGAAATGCGTGGCATATTGGCCTGTGAACTTATCGTCAGTTTGGCCACCCTTGTAATGTAATGGTGCGAAGCCCTGATTACCTACCAGTGATGGCAGCCGTGAGTGCAAATTAACAGTTTTGGTCAGGGAGGAAATTCTTTACGATCCTTCTTAGTTTCGACAAACCTTGACGACCTCTTATGTAAACTTCTGGAACGTGTGAATTCACGTATTCCGTAAGGACTTGGTTTTTGACCGTCGTCCTGATCGCAAGCGGGTGCGTGTCCGAACGTGTCGGCGCTAGCTAGTTTCAAATGAGAGGAGAATATCGGAGGGTGCTATGGGAGTGCCGTCAATATGGCACGGACTCGCTTGGTCTATTTCTGCTGACCGGTTGTGTCGTCCACGATCTCCGACGCCAGCCTAGCCCTCGCCGATCGGCCCGCCATCCGCGATCTCCTGGCGCCGTGTAGCACTCGCCGAGCGGTGCCCCGTCCTCGGGCTCCTTTGACGGTTACCCCCAACGTTCTTATCTAATCTTTCTGTCGCTCCTGTGTGGCAAATACACTCTCTTCTTTACATTTATGCTATTTTTATCCCATCCCCTACAAGGGTCTTAGCCGTGTCTCCAGATTAGGCAGACCGAAATTAGCTCCTTTTTTTTTTCAAGAACCACTCATTCATTTGCATATTGGACGCAAATTTGGGGTTAATTCGACACCTATTATATATTAAGTGTTGGCTAAAGCAACACCGCCTATATTTGACAATGATTGCGCCCAGAATTCTGGCGTCACCACCCGCCGGCTAAAAAGTGATAGCGTCTCCTGCAGACGCGAAAGCTGCCCTCTCCGGAGTGCGAACGCTCGATCACTCCGCTTGCCTCAGCCATGAAGTCGCTGGCGGTTAAAAAAACTGTCCTCACCTTCCCGTAAGAAAATTCGAATGCATTTTTGCGGCGAGAATAGACGGCGTGGTAATTTTAATGGCGTAATTAATGACGAGACGAGGACTTGAACCGTAAACATTTATTTACACATTCATCAGTCAGCGAACGATCAAGAGTGAGGCGCGCGCTATTAACTTCATTCGTGTATACGTACGTGCGAGCGGGCGCGAGAGTGGGGCGCAGGGAGGAGAGAGAGTAAACGACGAGAGAAGTGGCGAAGCACCGCACCTACCATCCACTTAGGCACTGCGCCGTGCTCCCGACCGCGTTGCAAAAATTAGGTGCCTTTTCTCATCTTCTAACCACTACCACCACCACCATCCACTCACGCGGGAGCTCCGCCGATCTTTCGCGATGCGAGCGCCCTCGCATGCCAGAGCACGCTCCTACTTTCCACGCGCCATGGCCTCCGAGAGTGGGGGCGCGAGAGAAACCTGCTGCGCGCCCGCAATCTCGGAGGCTATTCACGCACTCTCTGCTGCTCCTGAACACATATTTGGGTTGCGTGAACAAAACACGGACGGAGAGTAAACCAGATGGGTGCAAACTTTTAACTGCGTACGGGCTAAGCAAGGCTGGCGTCGCAGAGCTATAAACTCCGCTTGCACCGCCTGCTCCGGTTGCTGGGGGCGAGGATAAGCACGCGCGCCCGCAGCGGTGTCTCTGGGAGAGGGAGTTGGAGTGGATAACATCTGCCGGCACGTGGACACCGACAGACGCCTGACATTCTCCAACTAAGAAATGCAATAGCAATAAAAAAGAAACCTAAAGAGCTGAGCAAGCACGTGTCTTACGTAGAATAATGGGTGCATACAGTAGGCGCCTACATCATGTCCCTGTTATAAGCTTTTCTCTCTACCTTTTACTCAGCAACAACGAATTAATATTTCAGCCACTAACTAAAGGCCGAGTATTTCGACTGCCTGCGCGACCAATCGACGCTGTTCTTCCTCTTCGGCGCCGATTCCGTCCAGCCAGGTCGTGTTGGAAGGGAAAAGCGGAGGGTAAAAAAAATCGGGATTGTTGAACAGTGTGGCAGTAGAAAAGGCAGTATGCCATCCTGTCGCAGTGCTTTTTCTACTGCCCAACTGCTCAGCAATTGAGCTCTTATCATACCCCTTGACTGTCCATCGCCATTTTGCTCGACTGGTTCGGCGCCGACT